TCCCTTGGGCAAGCTATCTGACCTCTCTGAGCATCAGCCTTCTTATTTTACAACTGGGTGATGAAAGTGCCCCAGAGGGTAACTGCTGAGATGGTGAAGGGATATGTGTAAAGCAACAGCGCAGTGGCAGACACGTGGTAGGTGCTCTGTGTTATTCCCTCCCATCCCCACCTCTTCCACACACGCTGTCCCCAAGTTGCCAGCAAAACTAACAGATGTAATGTTGCTACTGATTTTTCTGTATGCAAACTTTATTCTTGAGCAGTTTTAAAGTCCAAATAATTACTTTTGTATAATAAACATCATTTGAAGAATGGTCTCTTTTCTTCTTGCCTACCCATTCTCACAGATCTATTTCTCCTCCACGTGGTAAAGTGGGGAAGCATGCTTTGAAATTTCTTGGACCATACAAAAAATTAAAAAAAAAAATGAAATTTCTTGAGCCATATGCTAGAAAGAACTGCTGTGCATGACTAGAGAGGTTTGTTTCCTTTCCGAAGTCATACTGTGTTGTCTTTACAGTGCTATTATTTATTTTAATTGGCTCAATAAACCAAATTGCAAAAATAAAGTTCTAGCTCTGCCTCTGCCTTGTGACCATGGCCAAGTCACGTGACCTCTTCGAGCCTAATTTCTTCAGTTGAGAAACACAGATGCAATAGTTTCTAAGGCCCTTGTCACCTTTTCGTGTTGTGATTCATAAAATCTTTATTCAGGAGCCCAGAACAGGAAGTGGCATGTGGGTCCCACTTCTCAACAGCAGAGGGCATACTGCCCCTAGTGTGTCTGGCCATTACGTATTGAAAACTATCTAGTTATCTAGCCAGAAGTTGATATCCTTGATGATAGGAAGGAGCCAAGGAAAATCTGTAAATTCAAGTTGTGCAAAGGACATTTCACTACATATTTCCAGTTGTTTAGTACCTAGGTGAAGCACTAAAAAAATGGGAGATTTTGACATTCTAAGGTCCTGTAATTCTGTGAAGAACTTAATCTGTCTCCCATCTAAGTACTCCGTGCTTAGGATTGGTGTGCAGATGGGATGGAGAGAACGAACATCTTTTAAGCATGTATATATCAGGAACTATGCCTAGTACTTTAGGTACATTTTCCCTATCCTCACAGCGATCCTTTGAATTATACGTGGTTATCCTTATTTTATACAGGAAGACACTAAGGTTCAGAGAGGTTAAGTGATTTGCCCGAGGCTTCACAGTTAGAAGAGATTCAAGTTCAGGTCTGTTAACTCCCAAGTCTGCTTTCTTGCCAGGGTTCCCCTCTCTTTTCCCCAGTCTTAACGATCAAGGCTATTGCTAGGAGCAGGAGAACCTTGGGCACGGTCACACAAGGGAATTTGGCTTTCTCTGGTTCTGAAGTTCTTGTGACCCTTGTGATTCTAGATGGAAGTGTTTCTCTGGCAAGAACTTTTTATCAGTTATATTTAGCATGACATATACAAACACATACCCATGTTTTCAAATTTGAAAATTTTAGACTGGATTATTAATGTTTTTCTTTGTGGGATGCTTTTAAAGGCTACAGCAATATCTCAGTTTACATGAAGACTCAGTTCTGTAGTCAGTGGGTGAGGTGAAAATCATTAGGGCAAAATTATCTTCAAGAATCTCATGGGAAGGTGTCTTGTTAGAGAGCCATGAGCTTCCTTTCTTTAAGTCCAACACAGTCAGTTTTTCCTCCCCTGTTGAAACCTGCTGAGCTTCAAAAGGTGTTCCTGTGGTGGTTTCTCATGTTGAGTTTCAAATGATACAGTTAGCTTATATTTGGGGGTATGTTCAGTGGTAATTCAAATCTTTAGACACCAGAGTCTCATTCAGCATGGTGAGATGCTTACAGAATTTTAGCTATTCTAAAACCTAGAACAAGAGAAGGAATAACAAATTAATGTCTTATTGTGGTGCTTATGCTAACTCAGTCATTTTCAAAACTTTACAGAATCACCTGTAGGGCTTGTTAAAGCACAGTTTACTGGGTTTTACCCCCACAGTTTCTGTGATTGCATTTCCAACAAGTTCCCAGGTGAAGCTGATACTGCTGGTCCGTGGACCTCACGTGGAGAACTACTGTACTAACTGAATGGAAGCAGGTGGAATCACTTGTCCGTCTTCCTTTCACTGTCTGTCTGCCTTTCTTGCCCTTTCATTTTTAGGCTAAGTGGATATAGTTGAGTTCGTTTAAGTTAAATTCAGGGACTGTAGCTCAGCCAACTCTTTATCCCACTGCTTAGCTTAGTATTTGGCCCAGAATAGGAGTTCAATAGATTCTTGTGGAGTGAAAGATTGAGTAAATTAACATGTATAATGGAAGGGTTTATAGCACATGGACATCATTATTACATACCTAGTCCATAAAAACTGCTTATTTTCCTGAAAAGTAGACAGTCTTTAGATCAGAATATTATGTTTTAGGACTACATATGGTGATGATCATAGATACCAGGAAGTATGCAGTTAGGTAAAGTTTTGAGACACTTGTGTTTTGGAACCTGTGGTGTGAATGGTAACTGTGTATGTAGATAGAGCTGGGTGCAGGAAGTCTCATCTGTTTTAGAATGACCTAGGAAAGTCTTACAGGGTTTACAGTCTGGTTTAGGTCAGAACTAAGCACTGTTCCTGGGAGACTGGAGCAGCACTGGAACAGCATATGTCTGATCCAGACTTGGTGCTGCATTCTCATTTCTGTCCTTCCAAAGCACTGAGGAATTCAGCCTCCATGATGCTAAAGGCTCAGTGAGACTGTACTGCAGGGTAACTCTGTAAATTCAGATAGTTGTACATGAATCTTACCATGTTGTAGTATTTGATAATTACATTTTAAATATTAAGTTAAAAAATCTCAAAGGGTAAAAAAAATCTCAAAAATATATTTAAAGTTCAGTTTAAGAAATCATTTTCATATGTAGCCAAAACAATATGATCACTTTTGACAAAATGAACAAGTCTTTAGTACAAATTGAGTATTTGTTCTCTGAAATGCTTAGGAACAGAAGCATTTCAGATTTTGGATTTTTTTTTGATTATGTAATAGTCATATTCTAGTTACTGATTGAATATAAGTAATCTGAAAATCCAAAATTTGAAATGCTCTAATGAGCCTTTCCCTTGAGTATCATGTTGGTGTTCAAAAGTTTCAGATTTGGAGCATTTGGGTTTTGGAGTTTTGGATTAGGGATGCTCAACCTGTATCATTTAATAACTAGTCCGTATTAAAATTACACATTTGTCCCTACATCTTTATTTAATATTGTTTGTTCAAACTAGGATCCAATCCAGGGTCATGTATTATGTCTGGATCTTATGTTCCTTAAAATTCATTTAATCTAAAATAGTGCTTTCTCATGATATTGCCTTGTCAATTGTCTTGTAAAATGTCCTGCCTTCAGTATCTGTTGTCCGTTTAAAGTATCTTCAACTTGCTCTTTTACCTTTATATTTCCTGGAACCTGGAAATTAGATCTAAAGGCTGGATTAAGATAAAATGGAACATTTTTGGCAGGAACACATCATAGGTGATATGGGCTTCAAGTTGTGCCACATGAGGAGATACATAATCCTTGCCTGCTCTACCATTGATGATGCTAACAAAATTGATTACTAGATTAAAGTGATGACAGCCTGATCCTTCCATTGTAGTTATGTTTTCCCCTTGTGACAAGAGAGTATTCTCTATGGTATTACTCTGATACTATATGAATGTTCATTTTCATATTATCCGTTTTCCTAATGCTTTTAACACCAATTGGTAATTCTTGCCTGAATCAGTAAATTTACAGAACTGTCATTATTCTAACTCTGTCATTCCTTCTACATTAGCTGACATTTGACTAAACACAGCTCTTCTTTATTAACTGGGACTATTCGCTGCCATCAAATACAGTTCTGTTGGACAGGCAGGTTAAATGTTGAATTTTTTACTTTTTAATTCCCAATTTCAAAGTAAGGAGTTGATTTAATAGACAACTTCAATGGTGGCAAATTAACTTTTTCCTTTCTTTCCTTTTTAAAAATATTTTTGTGGATGAATGGAGTTTCATGAATTGAATGTTTCAATTAACTACAGTGATTATTCTCTTTATGTTTAATTTGTTTTTGTTTTACATTCAATTTATTAAAACGATTGCCAGTGATAGTCCCTTGTAGTTGGTTCCTACGTTCTTTAAATGTAACTCTCCATTAATTCTGAGCACTTTCTTGCTTCCTTGCACAGCAAAATGCATAGGCTTATCTTGCAGCTTTCTTGTCCCAAATGTCACTCAGCCACTTCACTAATAAGCCCTAGTTTCTTTTGGTGGGAATGGTATAGACATGAAAATCTTATAACTTAGAATGTCTGTGGTGTGCTGGGATGACAAGGTTTATGGACCTTTTCAGTAGTCTGCTTAGTTCATGAATTTTTAATATTGAAACTGTGTATAATGAAAATTCAGATAGTAGGGGAAAACTGTATTTTGAAAAATAATAGGATGTATTATATACTTAAAAATTGTTAAGGGAGTAGATTTTAAGTGTTCTTACCACAGAAAATGATAAATATGTGAGGTAATGCTTATGTTAATTAGCTCAATTTGGCCATTCGACAGTGTATACATATTTCAGAACATCATGTTATATACACCATATGTAAAATTTTATTTGCCAATTAAAAAATGCATTAAAAAATTAAAAAAGGGTTCACATTGTATTAACGATTCAATTTTAACATTATGTTTTTAAGTAGCTACTTGACTTTATAATTGTATTTTTTCTTTCACATTGAAAATCTTGACTACCAATAGCAAACATTGCTTTATTTTATAATACAAAGAAAATGATTTCAAAATAATATTATCAATATTACTATTAATAATAAAACAAGTTTAAAATTTCTTCTGATTATTTTTGTAGTATAGATTGATTTTAATGGAAGAATTAATTACCTTTGTGTTGATCTCATTTTATTACTTTCCTTTGAAATATGTTTTGTTTATTTTGTTTTTATCACAGGTTGATCATTTTGGATTTAATACTGTGAAAACTTTTAATCAGCGGTACCTAGTAGCTGATAAATACTGGAAGAAAAATGGTGGATCGATACTTTTCTACACTGGTAATGAAGGGGACATCATCTGGTTTTGTAATAACACGGTATGTGCAGATTCATGAAATTCCAGTGCTCAATTTGACTTTTATTATGATAACTTGGAAGAAATGTTTTGCAGTATATATGACCAAGCATTACTGTTCTTAATTGTAAAGTTCTATTAAAAATAACAAAAAAATTAACTCACTAATAATAGAAAAATAGCAAAAGTACATGAATAGAAAGTTCATAAAAGAATTAAATACAGATATCCAATAAGTCTGCATATTCAGCCTTCAAGAATTACAAATGAAAAGGATAATGTACAATTTTTGGATAATTGAATTATTTCATTTTATTTTTCATGGACTGCCTGAACATCCCAGAGAATTGAATTTTGCAAGTTTTTTGTTTTTTGTTTTGCTTTGCTTTGTTTTTAAAATCCCAGCTTATTTCTAGAGTGAACAAGGATATAAGGGAAACAGGGATAAGAATGTTACTGAGTACAGTTTATTTTGATTATGGTCTCTAGAAGGTGAAAGCAAGGGCAGGAATTTTTCTATGTTTAGTGTTATATTGTCAGTGTCCGGGACATATAGAAGGTGATAAACATCTGTTAAATGAATGAATGAATAAAACCTAAACAAAGCCAATGCAAATGAGAAAAAAATATACAAATAAGGATGGGAAAAGGTAAAGTTGTAGCTACATTTTAGTTTAGCTTTCCTGTTCTACCATTTTCTTTTATTTGTGAGGGTTAAAAATAGTATATAGCCTGTTAGCTTGCTTCCCTGACTATATTTTCTATCGCCTTTTATAATGCTGAAATCCATGAACAAAACTTAATTTCAAAAGATATGTGAAAGGAAGAAATGCCCCTTTTCAACGTGTCAGTGCTGTGATGAGAAAATGTCAACTTTTTACCAAAGAACTAGTTGTGAACTACCTTAAAGTGGGGAATGAATTATGTCTTATCCCCAATGCTAACATCTGGCATGATGCTTGGTATCAGGAGGTCTCAGTAAATGTTTGTTGAACTGGTATATGAATTTAAAGTAAAGATATGAACCCAATTACGTTGTTACTGTATTTCTCATTTCTGATTATTTCCTTAGGAATGTTAAGAATCTAAGTAAGTTAGTTGAAATAAAATAATTCCCAGAGACATGAGATCCTAGGATGCCTATTGCTTTTAGATCAGTGGCAAGTGAAATCAGGACCTCCTTTCCATCAGATTCCCGTTCTGTTATTCTGTGAAATAACAGGCTGCCTTGTCTCTTTTCTCCTTTTGGTGTGACTTTCGTTTTATGTGAAGGCCATAGGGTAACTTCTCCTCTCCAGTGATTTTTCCAGTTTCCATTCTCTTTTATTATAGGTAGGTAGCTGTTCCTGCCTTCACTAGGCACTACTTTGACAGACACTGTGGCAGAACTTAAGGTTTGCTGGGGTATCTCTGTTCTCAGGAAGTGGTGGAAAGGAAGAGATATTCAGTGTAGGAACAGTTCCAAAGAACTGACTAGAGGCAGATCATAGAGGAGCAGATCCTGGCCCATCCCCAGGCCCAGAGACCTTCCTTTACATACCAAAACGTTCCAGTGCACATTCACTTCTGGACATTAATTTGTTCAGAGGCAGCAATCACACAGTGGTCAAGAGTGAAGACTTCAGCCAGACTGACAAGGTTTGAATGCTGATTTCGCCACTTTGCTGTGTGACTTTGGGTAAGTTTCTTGTTCTGTGCCTCAGTTGTCTCATCTGTTAAATGGATACAGTAATAATAGTTCATGGAGTTGTGTAAAGACTTAAAGAAGATTAAGGGACTTGCAAGCACATAATGTTAAAAGATGTTGATATATTACATGAACCTCTTTTGAAAAATAAGAATACTCCTGAAATGGATCACTTATTACTTTTTGAACTAGTTCAATGAAGTTGCCTCCTCTCAAAGCCTGAAGTCAACTGCACAGAGGTCTGGACATTTTAATGGATGATCTTTACTCTTAAGATACTCATGGTCTGGTGTGTGTGTGACCTACATGTAAGCAAAATTTGCGGCACAGTACCAGGGACATATACCTAGCACAGTGGTGTTGAGAAGGGGGAGTGATCAGCACTGCCAAGGTGGGGCCGGCAGAGGTGGGCATGCTTGAGCTGGGTGTTTGCAGGATTTGTAGTTAAATGGCAGGGGATGAGTAGATTCTTAAGAGAGAAAGTGGAGGTTATTGAAACCATCACAAATATCTGGTTAAATTCTCTATTCTTACATGTGTATGACTCTTCTAATTGTTCATTTATTGATCAAAACAAACAAAAACACTTGAGGTTCTTAGTCTTTGTTAGGCAGCAGGAACTCACTAAATAGCAACAGTGTTCACTAGGATTGACAAATAGTTTTAATCTGTGCTAAATCTAAATCTAATCCTTTGATGTTGATTACCTAGAATGCTTTGTTGAGAAAAGATTCTGAGGCCACAACTGAGTAAGTGAAAAAATGAAATGATTGGCTAATGACCAGATATAGATGATTCTAGCAAGGAGATCTAACAGTTCTTGATGATGGTGCTCTGGAGCCAGACATCTATGTTTGAATCATGGCTCTGCTGCTTGCTAGCTGTGTGAATGTTGAAGGTTATTTAAACTCTTGTGCCTCAGTGCTCTTGTCTATAAAATGGAGTTAATCAAAGTGCCTATTTCAGAGATTGCTGTAATATTTAAGTGAATTAATACATATAAAATGCTTAGAATAGTGCCTGGCACATTATAAACACTGAGTTATTTTAGCCATTGTGAGCTACTATTTATTAATTGAAAACCCTTAGGGAGTTTAGTATGCTTGTTTGTTTTGTTTTCTCTTTTATGTTGTCAATGCCTGTGAGTAGACAGCTGCTTTCGATATCTTTAGCTCTTTCCTAGAAGATTTGGCAAACAGTGCAATTTGAAGATAATTTTTTTTTTAAAGTTGAAGTTACTTTTTATTTTTATTTAATTTGTTTTCTCTCCATTGTAGTTTTTTTTTCTTGACTTTTATTTTAGGTTTAGGGGGTACATGTGCAGGTTTGTTAACTTGGGTAAATTGTGTGTGCTGAGATTTGGTGTATGAATGATCCCATCACCTAGGTAGTAAGCATAGTACCTGATACGTAGTTGTTGAATTCATGCTCCACACCCACACCCCCTGCGCTGTTAGCCCCCAGCCCCTCTAGTAGTTATGCAGTGTCTATTGTTCCCATCTTTGTGGCCATGTTTATTCAGTGTTTAGCTCCTGCTTGTAAGTGAGAACATGCAGTGTTTGGTTTTCTGTTGCTCTATTAGGTCACTTAGGATAATGACTTCCAGCTACATCCATGTTACCACAAAGGATATGATTTTGTTCTTTTTAATGACTATGTAGTATTCTGTGGTGTATATAGACCACATTGTCTTTATCCAGTCCACTGTTGAAGGGTATCTAGGTTGATTCTGTGTCTTTGATATTGCAAACAGTGCTAAGATGAACATGCAAGTGCATGTGTCTTTTTGGTAGAATGGTTTATTTTAAATTTTTATTTATTTTTTAATTTTATTTTTTGTAGAGAAAAGGGTTTCACTATGTTGCCCAGGCTGGTCTCGAACTCCTGGACTCAAGTGATCCACCTGCCTTGGCCTCCCAAAGTGCTGGGATTACATGCATGAGCCACCACACCTGGCCTATTTTTCTTCAGGTAGTGAGGATTGGTGGGCTGAGTGATAGTTCTATTTACCCAGTAGTGAGGATTGGTGGGCTGACTGATAGTTCTATTTCAAGTTCTTTGGGAAATCTCCAAACTGCTTTCCATAGCGGCTGAACTAATTTATATCCTACTAACAGTTTGTAAGCGTTCCCTTTTCTCCACAACCTCACCAATATCTTGTTATTTTTTGACTCTTTTTAAATAATAGCCATTCTAACTGGTATGAGATAGTATCTCATTGTGGTTTTAATTTGCATTTCTCTGATGATTAATGATGTTGAGCATTTGTTCATGTTTGTTGGCCTTGTGTATGTCTTCTTTTGAAAAGTGTTTATGTTCATGTCTTTTGCCCACTTTTTAATGGGGTTGTTTGTTTTTTCTTGTAAATTTATTTATTTTATTTATTTTTTTTTTGAGACGGAGTCTCGCTCTGTCGCCTAGGCTGGAGTGCAGTGGCCGGATCTCAGCTCACTGCAAGCTCCGCTTCCCGGGTTCACGCCATTCTCCTGCCTCAGCCTCCGAGTAGCTGGGACTACAGGCGCCCGCCACCTCGCCTGGCTAATTTTTTTGCATTTTTAGTAGAGACAGGGTTTCACCGTGTTAGCCAGAATGGTCTCGATCTCCTGACATCGTGATCCGCCTGCCTCAGCCTCCCAAAGTGCTGGGATTACAGGCATGAGACACCACGCCCGGCCCTTTTATTGTAAATTTAAGTTCCTTATAGATTCTAGACATTAGGCCTTTGTCAGATGCATAGTTTGCAAATATTTTCTCTTATTCTGTAGGTTTTCTGTTTACCCTGTTGATAGTGTCTTTTGCCGTGCAGGAGCTCTTTAGTTTAATTAGGTCTCACTTGTCAGTTTTTGTTTTTGTTGCAGTTGCTTTTTGGGACTTAGTCATAAATTCTTTGCCAAGGCTGATGTCCAGAATGATATTTCCTAGGTTTTCTTCTAGGGCTTTTGGGCTTTTTATAGTTTCCAGTTTTATATTTAAGTCTTTTATCCATCTTGAGTTGATTTTTGTATATGGTGAAAGGAAGGGGTCCAGTTTCAATCTTCTGCGTATGGCTTGCCAGTTATCCAAGCACCATTTTATTGAATAGGGAGTCCTTTTCCCATTGCTTGTTATTGTTGACTTTATTTAAGATCAGGTGGTTGCAGGTGTGTGGCTTTATTTCTGGATTCTCTATCCTGTTACATTGGTCTGCATGCCTATTTTTGTACTAGTATCTGATGTTTTGGTTATTGTAGCCTTGCAGTATAGTTTGAAGTCAGGTAGTGTGATGCCTCTGGCTTCGTTTTTCTTGCTTAGGATTGCTTTGGCGATTCAAGTTTTTGTTGTTGTTGTTGTTGTTGTATATGGATTTCAAGAGTTTATTATTTTTTTTTCCTAACTCCGTGAAAAATGTTGGTAGTTTGATAGCAATAGTATTGAATCTGTAAATTACTTTGGGGAGTATAGCCATTTTAACAATATTGATTCTTCCTATGTATGAACATGGAATGTCTTTCCATTTGTTTGTGTTGTCTCTGATGCCTTTCAGCAGTGGTTTGTAATTCTCATTGTAGAGATGTTTCACTTCCTTGGTTAGCTGTATTCTTGGATATTTCATTCTTTTTATGGCTATTGTAAATGGGATTGTGTTTTTGATTTGGCTGTTAGCTTGATTGTTATTGGTGTATAGACATGCTACTGATTTTTATACACTGAATTTGATACTGAAACTTTACTGAAGTTGTTTTGTCACTTCTAGAAGCCTTTTGGCGGAGTCTGTGGGGGTTTTCTAGGTGTAGCATCATCTCATCTGTGAAAAAAGATAGTTTGATGTCCTCTTTTCCTCTTTGGGTGCCTTTTATTTCTTTCTCTTGCCTGATTGCACTGGCTAGAACTTCCAGTCCTATGTTGAATAGGAGTGCTAAGACAGAACATCCTTGCCTTGTCTTAGTTCTCAAGGGGAATGCTTCCAGCTTTCGCTCATTCAGTATGGGTTTGTTGTAAATGGCTCTTCTTATGTTGCAGTATGTTCCTTCAATACCTAGTTTATTGAGAATTTTTACCATGAAGGAATGTTGAATTTTATCGAAGGCCTTTTCTGCATCTATTGGGATGATCACATGGTTTTTATTTTTAAATTCTGTTTATGTGGTGAATTCCATTTATTGATTTGTGTATGTTGAACCAACCTTGCATCCAGGAATAAAGCCTATATGATTCTGGTAAATTAACTTCTTGATGCTGCTGGATTTTTGTTTGCTAGTTTTTGGTTGCGGGTTTTTACATCTATTTTCATCAGGGATATTGGCCTGAAGTTTTCTTGTTTCATTGTGTCCCTGCCAGGTTTTGTATCATAATGATGCTAGCTTCATAGAATGAGTTAGGGAAGAGTCCCTCCTCCTTATTTAAAAATAATTTCAGTAGGATTTGTACTGGCTCTTTGTACGTGAAGACCATTTTAGACATAATGTTGATTCTAGGGCTAGAGTGTCAGCATAAAAAGACATGGATGACTAGCGGATGAGCAACTTGGGATTATTTTTAATTGTTTCACTCATAAAGTGTGAGATTGATATGCAACAATAAGACAGCAATTATGTCATTTATTTGTAGCACAAACATAAATTGTGCAACTTTTTAGAGTGCTCTTTTTGGTCTGGCTTAACATGTATTTCATATGGTTTGCCAAACGGTTCAGTGACTTTCACATCCTGATTTTATCCTGTGATTTTGTAAACTCTTCTTAGGGGTTCATGTGGGATGTGGCTGAGGAACTGAAAGCTATGTTGGTGTTTGCTGAACATCGATACTATGGAGAGTCTCTCCCCTTTGGTGACAACTCATTCAAGGTAAAGATACTTTTTACTTTTAAGTTACAAGTTTTTTCTTTTCAATTTAGAATAGTTTCTACATTACATGCCCCACTGTGAGATAACTTTAATTTGAAATGCCTGAAAGCTCAATAGTTTATATTTAGTAGTTTCTTTTTAGATACAATTTGAACAGATTGAGGTTTTTTTTTAGCCATTTTATTATAATTCTTAATGTTAATCAGTTTTTAACTTGGTGTGCCTCAGGAAGTTAAATTTTACTCTGTGGCTGCAGAGACAGTACAAGGAAATTTTTACTATTTCAAAAATATCAGTAAACAATTCCGCTTTATAAATTGTACACTTAAATTATTGAGCCTGCCACTGGAAAAAATACAATGAGCATAACAAATTTATCTGATGTTTTTAATAAAATAAAATCAATAAAATAAGGACAAATAAGCTGTATGATGCATTAAGGTCAACTGGCCTCTTGGATTCCCTTTGAACGTTTCCTGTTCTCACAGGAGCTTTGGCCTTTGTCACAGACTCTCTACCTAATAAACCAGGACACTTTTTCTTCAACGGAGTCATTCATGTACTTCTACCCTTGTGACTTTGGCTACATTAATTTGCCACATGTACTATTATTTACTTAATGTTTTTCTTTAACCAACTCACTTTTTAAACTTAGCATTATCTTAACCAAGGGCTCTATGTACTGGTTATTCTTTCCAAATTACACTAAAATAAAGCAATAAATGTTCCATTAAAAATGTTTGTGTGCTTCCTAAGACCACCAGTATATACAAATGCTTTTGGGAACTCTCAGCTGTAAGGACTTGGGGCCAGTCCTTTACTAGGCTGCCTGTTTTGAAAGGAGTTTTTTATTTTTAAAAGGAAGGTTTTACTATCTCATATTATAAATAAATGCATGAGTAAAAATAAGTAAAAGTGTTGTGCTATAAATAGAAAGTGGGATAATTTGCTGGTATTTGTTGGGCTGTATGGGAAATTCATTCTTTAGCTTGATATTTTGCATAAATATCTGATTAGGGGACTTGACAGGTCCTGAAACCTTGGGAGGCAGTTAGCTTGTTGTAGATAGAAACATAACTTCTTCTCCTAGGTTTCTGTGATTGATACTGTGTTAGCAAAATGGAGCCAGGGGCTCTTTTTGATATACGTCTTTCCCTTTGTGTGCTCACAGAATATGTCAGTAGCATGAGAGATATTACAGATATTATGCAGGATTAGAAAAAAAAATGCACTCAACTGTACAGAGTGCCATAAAAACTAGAAGTAAAGGATAGTGACAGACAGGGAGAGAGGAGGTAAGAAGGCATATATCTTGGAAGAGGGGGGAAAGCTAAAGGAGTAGGAGGCATATATAGGAGATAGGAATGATGGGATCTGTGTGATTCAGTAATATGCCAGATGACGGAAGGAATCAGAATGGTGAGACCAAAGCATGAAAGTCAAACAGGGTAGCCTAATAGAGGTATGTATTATGGTAGTTATCTATTGCTATGTAAAGATGTACCTCAAACCTCATGGCTTAAAACAGCAATAAATATCTATTACTTTATAGTTCCCATGGGTGAAGAATTAGGAGTGGTTTAGCTAGGTGGTTCTGCTTCAGGGGGTCTCATGAGGTTAGGATGTCAGCTGATGCTGCAGTCATCTGAAGGCTTGACTGGGGCTGGAGAGCCTTTCTACTCATATGGAGGATCACTCACATAAGAGATAAAACTGGTACTGGATGTTGACAAGAGGCTGCAGTTAAGGGCCTACTTGAGTTCATTACAAGGCAACTAATTTCCCTCAAAGTTGGCAGTGTAGGAGAGCAAGGTGGAAGCTGCAGTGTATTTTTAATGACCTAACCTTCATAGTCACGTATCATTATTTCTGCCCCATTCTATTAATTAGAAGGAAGTCATTAAATCCCATCCAAATTCAAAGGGAGTGGAATTAAGCTTCACCTTTTAAAGGAAGGAGTGTCAAAAATTTGCAGACATATTTTAAAAGACCTTCTTAGCCTTCTCAGCTCAGCAGGACACTAAGCTTCACCTTCTGCAATAGGGAAATTGTCTTCATGTAGAGAGCAGGATGATTATGAAACTTAACATTATGAGTTTTCCTTTTCTCAAAGATCAATGTCTTGTGTTGCCTGTTTTCCAATACCTGAAAATAGTTTTTTTCTTTCCAATTTTATAGTTGTTTAAAATAGGTAGGCTACTTTGTTTCAGTTGTTGATATGGCCGAGGTCATACATAATCTTTCCGATAAAGAAGGGTGAGTTTTATTTTTACTGGTGATTCTTCCCTCAATTGTCCACTAGATTTAGTTTATATTTGCCTATGTGGTAGACATTTTAAATGTGCCAAGATTTAAAACAAAAGTTATAACAGTTATCTATTAAACTTAGTTTATATTCTATCATATTTGCTATTAAATTTTACCTACAATTTGTTCTGTTGTTTCTACAACCTTAAACAAAGTCTTTGGTAAATAGCATTTAATAGAAATTACACTTGCATGCGAAGTACATTATGTTCTTCCACAAACTTAAAATAATTTTCCTGAGTTTAAATCCACACAGCTATTGCTTTGACTAGGCGTTTTAGTACAATTGCCTAGAAATTCTATTTGGAGAAAAGCTTATCTGACACTGGCTCTCTTCTGGATCCATGCTATTCCTAAGCTGCTATTATGTGCACATTTATACCCATGTTCTTTGTTATTTTTCTTTAGGATTCCAGACACTTGAATTTTCTGACATCAGAACAAGCTCTGGCTGATTTTGCAGAGTTAATCAAACACTTGAAAAGAACAATCCCAGGAGCTGAAAATCAACCTGTCATTGCCATAGGAGGCTCCTATGGTGGCATGCTTGCAGCCTGGTTTAGGATGAAATATCCTCATATGGCAGTTGGGTAAGTGCATTTATACTGGACATGAGTGTTTCTTAATGATTATCAAGGCAAACGTAGAGGTTCATTTTGGGTAAAACATGTTCCATTCTACTGCACTGAGATTTCTGGCTTCTGTCTCATTAACAGCTGTGTTATTTTTCTCACTATTTTTATTATAAGTTTCAACTTTAAAACTTGATTTAGATGACACATATATATATATATATATTTTTTTTTTTTTTTTTTTCTTTTCTTTTTTCCTTCTTTGATTTTCTTGTCATTTAGAGCTCTTGCAGCTTCTGCCCCTATCTGGCAGTTTGAGGATTTAGTACCTTGTGGTGTATTTATGAAGATTGTAACTACAGATTTTAGGAAAAGTGGTCCACATTGTTCAGAGAGCATCCGCAGGTCCTGGGATGCCATTAATCGACTCTCAAGTACTGGTAAGCTTTAATTAAGAGAATGGAATTGTGTGTTTATTTAGCCTTTCATTTGTTAAATTCAGTAGTTGTCACTTTTTAAGTAAACATTTTATTAAAGCATAATGTACATACAGAAAATTATACAAATCAAAATACATAGCTTGATGAATTTTCACAAAACAAGGACACAGTGTAATTAGCATTTAAATCAATAAAGGGCATTGCCAGCGTCTCAGAAATCTCCTTGTGCCTTTTCAGTCACAACCTCCATACCTATCCGCAAAAACATCCTCACTTCTAGAACCATAGGTTAATTTTTACTTGTTCTTAAATGTTTTAGTAATTGGAATTACATAGCATGTCTTTTTTTGTGTCTACTCTCTTTTGCTCAGCACTGTTTGATAGATACATCCATTTGTCTTACTTAGTTGTAGTTTATATATTCTTGTTCTATGGTGTTCCTATTTATTCATTTTAGTAGTATCTTAAAAAGGGAGAATAATTCTGCATACTAATTCTGGTAAACTCTATGAGGATAGGCAACTTGTCTGTCATGGGATTCTCCAGTTGCTCTAAAAATATCCTGGGAGAAGGGGTATAAAAGATTGAGTTTTCTAAAATACTATGTGAAGAATACATTATCTGTAAAGCCATCTGTTGACCAGTACTTTTTAGATTCCAACAATGTGATTCTATTCCCAGGCAGTGGTTTGCAGTGGCTTACTGGAGCCCTTCACTTATGCAGCCCATTAACTTCTCAGGACATCCAACATTTGAAAGACTGGATCTCTGAAACCTGGGTGAATCTGGCAATGGTGGACTATCCTTATGCATCTAACTTTTTACAGCCTTTGCCTGCTTGGCCTATTAAGGTAATAGGAAAATGTCCTCTCATAATTTTTAATAACATACTTCTCTTTTTTTTTTTTAATGTGCATACTCTGACTTTCTGCATCAGAGAAAGTCCCAGTGACAAAGGGGCTCTGGAGTTGGTCAAACTTGAGCTGGAATCCTGGGTTCTGCTGCTTTCTGATTATGTGGGCTTGGACATGTTACCTAGCTTTTTTGAGCCTCAATTTCCTCATTTGAAAAATGGAGATAAAATTCATTGATTATAGAGTTGTATGAATTAGAAATAATACCGAAAGTTGCTGTTAATGGAATAATTACTATGTGCCAAATCCTGGGCTGTATACTTTGCCTGTGCAATTTATTTAATCTCTGTGATATGTGTATAACTTCCATCTGTGTAATACCTGGTTGATGCTTAATAAATGGCAGTCATTATGATAGTACTATGATCTAGTCAGCTGCGAAAGCATTGTAAGTGCTGCCCACAGTGTGAAGAGTGACCCCCATGCATCACAGTAGAGTGGAAAGAACATCAAATTAGACTCTGAAAGTGAGGTTTTGGTCCAGAACTGCCGCTTCACTTACCAACTGTGTGATCCTGGGCAAGGTGCTTTTCTCTCCTTATCCTCTGTCTTCCTCTGTGGAATGGAATAACAGCACTTACATACCAAATAGGGTTGTGCTGAGAATCAAATAAAATGTTGGATGTGAAACACTTTGGAAATATAAGGACACATTACAGTATAAATTTTAAGGTTCTTTTCATGGCAAAATTCTTTATTGTGTATGTTCATTTTAAGCATTTCTTTGTAAAGAACATTCCTCTTAGTTTTAAAAACAAAGGCTGGCCAACTTGATGGTTAAATTTGGAGAATATAACTGACTCTTCAGCTAGAATGAGTGTTGGAAATGAAAATAGAATTGGTGATATAGATTCGGGTTTCAAATTCACTTTTAATTTAACCACCCCTTTGAATTATTACATGTATACCTTGCTTAAAATTTTGTAACTAAAACAAGTTCACTTGCTATTATTTTTCTTAATTTAAAAAGTAGAATGACCAGTGAGTGTCTTGCATATAGTAGGCTGGAGGTAAATATATATTGAATTAGATTGAATTTTGATAATACAAAGTTGTTGAAAAGAGCAGATCATGTTTTATGTTAGAAAACCTAAATCAAATCCAGCACTTTGGGAGGTGGAAGTGGGAGGATTGCTTGAGGCTAGAAGTTTGAGACCCACCTGGGCAACATAGTGAGACCTCATCTCTACTAAAAATCAAAAAAATTAGCAGGGCATAGTGGTGCCTGCCTGTAGTTCCAGCTACTTGGAAGGCTCAGGCAGGATGATTGCTTGGGGCTGCAGTGAGCTGTGATCATGCCACTGTACTCCAGCCTGGGTGACAGAGCTGGATCCTGCCTCAAAAAAAGAAAAGTGAAAAAAAGAAAACCTGGATCAAAATGACAAGGAAAAACGAAATCTAAACTAGTTCATCTTCATAAACATCTATGTGCTAATAATGCCTTATCTGTCCATATTATTTACTATCTACAAAGCACTTTCATGTATGCTGTCTCAATTCTTATAAAAGTACTGTATAGAAAAAGAGGTATAATCCAAGATTTTTGGAGAGGAAATTAAAGCTCAACTAAGAGGTGGTAGAAGTAGGATTTGAACTTGGGTCTTCACTGTTCCGAGCCTATGCTCATCTACTGCATTGCACTGGATTAGGAGGAAACTTGACTGAGGGTTGAGGGGGCCATTGCTCACAGTGAGACATCTATCAGATTTAACTCGATATCTAACTGTGTACAAGGTGAGAATTACATTTGCATCTTTATTCTCACTTGAAGAATGAATGAGTTGTCAGATGATAAAAACATATGGGGAATTCTCTCATTATTTAGAACAGAGGTTGACAAACGTTCTCCATTTAAAGGGCTATATTTTTAGGCTTTGCGAGCCGTATGGTTTCTGTCACAATTACTCAACTCTGCCTCTGTAGCATGAAAGTAGCCATAGATAATAAATAAGCAAATGAGGATGGCTGTCTCCAATAATAACTTATTTATAAAAATAGGCAGTGGGCTGGATTTGGCCTGGGAGTTGTACTTTCCCAACCACTTATCTAGAAAAAGGCTGGAGAAATACAGCTGTTTAATGTTAGTTGGTGTAGCACAATTTGGAATAGTGAGCAGTCTAACTGGTTTTCTCCCTACCTCTTTAATGTTCATTCTGGGATATTTTGCTGTTCAGTCTTACATGTGAATAAATACTTTATCCTTTGTTCTTCTAAATAATTACTCAAAACCAGCAGAGTATACCTCAAATATTTTGTCATCTATTTTTGATTTACTGCAATCCTTTTATCCTTTATGTATATGCAATATAAAAGTTTATTTTTAAGGTAAGATATCTTTAGGTCTTTCCCTCACAAGCACGCTTTACTTCTTTTATCCAGGATTAATTCTTATCATTCTCTTCAGTTATTTCTTACTGACATTATCCTTTCTTTTGACAGATCAAGGAATTCTTTATTGCTTGTATTTATGATTCTGTTTCCAGCCTGCACCCCCACCAGAAGTAATCTTATCTCTTGCCCCTTGCTTGAGAAATTCCATTGCCTCTGTTTCCAATTTCATCCTATAGTTAGTTACCCATCTGATTTTCAGAATTTTTCCACTACGTCTCCCTCCCAAACTTGTAGCTTCAGATCACTTTCTTTCACTGTTCATTCTATTTCTCCTTTTTTGACCCCCTCTGTGTTCTCCCAACCCACTAATCCCTGGAACACTACCCAGTTGGGGACCGCTCTTTCACTTGGATAGTTCCATTTAACCAGAACTCCTCCTCCCTCTGATACACTTCCTCCTTTTTAAAGGGCTGACAAACAGGCGTCCTTTTCTGAGTCTGTAACTCAGGCTTAGGATGGTGAGATAATATGTAACAGTTGGGTTATGAAAAAAAGCAGGTGATTTCCAATTCTGTCTGGGACCTTGTACAGTTCTGAAGGATCCATGGGCAGCGACTAAATGCCATTTTCCGTGTCAATTCAAGTATCGTTCCTTTTAATTTGTCTTTGGGCTTTGCACACTCAGACTCCATTTGCTTTTGTTTACTGTTAACAGAAGCTGCAACATTCATGCAGAAATAATCATGGACTTGGCTGGTAGAACACAAGGAAGAAGAGAAAAGAGAAACAGAAAACCCCTCTGTCATTTGACTGTTCTGTCAGCATGAAAACTACTAGGTCTCTTCTTAGCTTAAAGAGCAATTTTAAAGGATGCTGTCATTTGTTAATTTTGGAATCACATTTCAGCTGATAGCTTCTCAAATATTTCAGCGTAGCCTTCTGTGAATGTAGATAGATATAGTGAAATAATGACATAAGATGGAAAAATCTCTTCCGTTTGTCTTGGTGTTTGGTAATGTATGCGACCTCTCTGGGTGGTTTAAGCGGTTTAGGTGCATTCTATGAAAAGGGAGCTTTTAATGACAAAACTAATGTGATTATCTGAGTGAGTGTGAGAGGGGTATTGAAGCCTTAGAGAAAGAAAATCTGTTAGAAAAGCTGAATGTATCTGCTTAATCCTTTCTCTAATGTGGATGGACCATGCTCTGAGAGGAGATTGGTCTTTTTTTTTTTTCCCCCCAACTTGTCTTCTTTCCTTCCTCTGTTAAAAAATTTTCTTTGACCCTCTTTTCCTTCTCTTATTTAAATGTGTACTGTCATAGGTAGGAACACTTAAAACTTTTAAACAAATCATTATCTTTACTTTGTCTGGTGTATGTGGGATTAAAGGGCAGAATGGAAATATTTGGTTGCAGATATGATTAGTTTGGTACTAAGGTTGCATGAATGTTCTATTTTCTCAACTATTTCTATACACTTTAAAACTGGAATGAGTAAAATGGACTTTCTAATGTTCTTTCTGTTTCCTGAATGTTCATCTTTATTCCAGGAAATGCCTCATATCACTCTACTATTTTACAGTTTTGGTTTTTTTTGTTGTTTTTTTTTTTTTACTATTACATACTTTTAAGGTTTTATGATTTCATATTGCCACAAAATTCATTCTAAGTTTTTGCCAAAACAAATAAACCTAGAAAAATATGAAGATGATCTAAGAATCAGAAAAATTGTTTTAAAAAGTTAAGCATGAGACAGCAGGTATATTTAAGCATTGTATGTGTTGTTATTTTTCTTTCAGCTTTTAGTTGAATATGTGTAATATAGTTACAGTGGTTGGAAGCTCCAGAGAGTCTGCATTTGTGTTTTTTTCTTTTCTTTCTTTCTTTCTTTTATTTTATTTTATTCTATTTTATTATTTTTTTTTTTGAGAAGGAGTCTCGCTCTGTCTCCCAGGCTGGAGTGCAATGGCACGATCTTGGCTCACTGCAACCTTTGCCTCCCAGGTTCAAGTGATTCTCCTGCCTTAGCCTCCCGAGTAGCTGGGATCACAGGCGCCCACCACTGTGCCCAATTTCTGTATTTTTAGTAGATACGGTGTTTCACTCTGTTGGCCAGGCTGGTTTCGAACTCCTGGTCTCAGGTCATCCACCCGCCTCGGCCTCCCAAAGTGCTGGGATTACAGGCATGAGCCACCACACTTGGCCTCTTTCTTTCTTTTATTTATTTATTTTTTTAAGAGAGAAGGTCTCATTCTGTCACCAAGGCTGGAGTGCAATGGCAAGATTATAGCTCACTGCAGCCTCGAACTCCTGGGCTCAAGGGATCCTCCCACTTAAGCCTCCTCAGTAACTGGGATTACTGTATTTGAATCCCAGTTCTGCCACTTCCTTGCTGTGTGGTTTTGGGCAAGTTTCTTAACCTCTCTGTGCTGTAGTTTCCTCATTTACAAAATGTGTATAATAACAATTGTAATGCTTATTAGGGTTGTTATAAGTATTTCATAGCATCTGGTGTAAAGTAAAAGCACTAAATTGATGCTAGTTATAAGTAATAACAATAGCAATTTTTATTATGTAATATTGGGAAACCAGATGATTATACCAGGACTTTGTGGTCAACATCTTGATTGAGACCTATATTCATAGTACTTTTTTTTCCCCCCACATCAGATAGGTAATGTGCCGACAGCATAACCAGGTTTGAGGGCGGTCCATTTCACACGTGAGCATGAAAACCCAAACATATGCTTTCTACATTCATAGTTTTAAAATTGTATTTCTGTAGCCAGACCTCTGAGCTTGTTTTTTCTTCTGTGAAATGGGAATGATCATTATATGGTGCTCTCTGGGTTACTGTGAGGAAAGAACCTGCCTTCAAAGAATATATGAGTTGTATGAGCAACCTCAGTCCCAGCTGTTCACGTTTCAGTGCATTTACAGTATGTGTAGGAATGACACGCCTTATGTAGAAATTGTTTAGAAGAAGCCGTTTGCTAGGGCTCACAAAATAAATAGAAAGTATAGTTCAGGGGTACCTGGGTGTTGAGTATTTTGGACAGAGATGGTTGGCCAAGACTCTTTCCTTGTTGTCTGATTATATCACAGCCTCTATGTAAACAATCAACAGGCCAAGTGCTTGCTTTTATCACATGGGTAATATCTGCAAATTATCAGTGTTAAGCTAAAGTATTATATGAGGTTGAGACAAAATTGTTGATATTTGACTGTTTTTGATTTATACATGTGAGAATTTCATATGGTTCAATTTAATATTTATGTATTTTGTGCATCCTACAGTTCTTTGATAAAAGTATGTGAATATCTCCTTTTAAAGTACTCGTCTTTTTTTTTTTTTAAGAGATGGAGTCTTGCTCTGTCACCCAAGCTAGAGTGCAGTGGTGTGATCATAGCACTGGAGCCTAGAACTACTGACTGAAGCAATTCTCCCACCTCAGCTTCCTGAGTAGCTGGGACTACAGGCATGTGCCATCATGCCTGGCTAATTTTTTGATGTTTTGTAAAGATGAGGTCTTGATATATTGCCCAGACTGGTCTTGCACTCCTGGCCTCAAGCGATCCTACTGCCTGGGCCTCCCAAAGTGGTGGGATTACAGGCATGAACCACTGTGCCTGGCCTTGAGTTACTATAGTCTTTAAATAAGCATGCGAATAGTGCCGAGGTCTTGCTAATATGACTTCAGTATTTTTTTGAAACTTCATTCACTGTGCTACCGAAATTGTTAAGGAAGTGCAAAGAGATATTAGAGATTCTGTTTTTTAATGCTAGAGGATGATGCTTGGACTCACAAAATCTTTGAGTTAGAAAGGAACTTTAGAGTTACCTAAAATAAAATTTCCATAGTAAATTCGCAAATATTTTGCAAAAAAAATTTTAAGTGACGTTTTTCAGGCTTTCTATCTAGCATACTAGTAGAATTAAAAATCAACACTTCCTTTCTATAAGACAGTTTGACATGATGTACCAAGGGCCTTAAAAATATTGATCTATTTTGAGCCAGTAATTTAAGAATTTATCTCAAGAAAACAATTAAGAATATATGTAAAGATTTAGCCCCAAGGATATTTATTGTAGCCTTATTTGTAATGAAGAAAGGTTGGGAATGACCCAGTTTTAGGGTTGCTTCAGCTGTTTTTCAGCTCCCCATCCCGATTGCTGTCTTCTAGATTTTCTAATGTTGATCGGTGCCCTTCATAACTTGTATACAAAGCTGGATCCAGTACTCCAAGGGTGATCTGACCTCACAGAACACAGTGCCTGGGGAGTGCCCTTAATCTGGACTTGGAATCCCATCATACAGAGGCCAAGTCTCTGACTATGGTGTTCTCTCTGTGTAACTGGGGCTGCTGAAACCCAAGTATTGTCAGCCAGTGCCGGTCTCCAGCCATGCTTGTGTCTTTTAAGAAGTGACAGTAACTGCTATTTGTGGAGATGGCTATTCATAGGGACTCCTTTTCTTTGCCTGACAGAGGCCCAGTGTTCTAAGCTCTAAGAGGGGCTCTGATGCCAGCATGTGAGTCACACTCACTTGCTACTGTTCTTTTCCAGAGTTTTGGGCCACTTGTTGCTCCACATCACTACCTCCTCTCCCCCTGCCCAGCTTGCATTGTCGCCCTGCCCTATCTACCATGCTGTGCTTGTACATAAGGTGCTTCTCTGCATTCCGTGTATCTACTTTGTACTTTTGTGCTGCATTTTGAAAGAGCTGAATCGGCTGTTGGTGTCCAGGTTCAGGAAAGAATGCTGATCAACTTTTGGCAGTAGATGGTTTAATATAACTTATGATTGTTTCTTGATTTCCATATTGTCTTGAGTTATATCTTATTGGCATATTTCCTAGGAATGTTTTCTAAGAAAAGTGCCATGCAAATGTTAGGTATTTTTTGACTTACCATGAAAAATCAAGAGTTGTCAAAATAATAAAACACTGTTTTGACTTTTAATTTTTCGTCAGTTTGCATTTCCTTATTGCTTTAGTCTTCATAGGTTTGTGAAGCTCTCAGTTTAGCTCAATTCTGTCTCTTCATGTACATCCTAAACCCTGGTATTCCTTATTCTTATGACCTCACAGTTACTTTGTAAAGGTATATGCAATTATTTGAACATCTTAATTTCTGACTTTTCTCACATTCAACAGTTCTAAAAACTTTTGGCAATGATGCACACTCCGTCTTCCTTTGAAAAGTCATATTACATTTGAGCATGTTAAAGATTCTGAGAAATCCTCTGAAATTATATAATAATAACAACCAGCCAGAAAAACTGTTCACATTTGCTAATATACAGTTTCTCAAAGCTATTTGACTAGGAAACATTTTTCCACAAAGTACCAATTAACATTCCATGGAAATATTGTTGTGCAGAATATACCTGGGGAGAGGCATTGAATTTTCCTGAAAATTCGTTTTCTTGTTTACAATTTTCCTTTTTTTTTTTTTTTTTCACTGGCAGCTGGTGCCAGGCAGAACTGTGATGAAGGGTTGGGTTTGGTTGCATCCTTTCTCAATATCCTCCTTTCCTGACTGGGAGCATGCCCCCAGCCCAGGCCTTGTTACGCCTGCTGCCCAGAATCTCTCTCCCTGAGGTGGGGTAACTGGGCTCCTTTCCGGGCTTCTTCTCTGGACTAGTCTCTTTTTTGTCAGGACTAGTCTATTATATATATAATCTTTTCCATATGAAATGGGAAAGGACCAGGTTACTGAATTCATGTCAGAGTCAATAGAGATTCAAGCTTACCGGGTTTTCCTTGCCACTGGGGCTATTTGTGGTTTTTCAGGTGGACACTTCCTAAGCTGTGTGACATAATGGATAAGATGAATATTTCATAACCAGAGACAGCTGGGGACAAATCTAGGCCCTATTATTTACTAACTGAGTGACCTTGAAGATGACTTAACCTAAGAATCAGGGTTTTTTTTCATGTAAAATAATGGACAATCATCTACCTGATAGGATTACATGGTGTATTGGTTGGAAACCCAGGGCTTAATAATTACTAGCTGTTGTTGTTGTTAATATTATTCAGCTATGATTCCATTGCCTGTTATTTTTCTCCAACATTTTATTATGAAAAATTTTAAACATATGGAAAGTTAAAATAATTGGATAGTGAACACTCATAAACCTAACATCTAAATTCAATAAATAATATTTTATTATATTTGATTTGTCACATATATATTCACCTATCCATCACTTCATGTATCTTTTATCTTATTTTAAAATGAATTTTAAAGTAAATTGCAGACATCTTCCTCTTAAATACTTCAGCTTTATTATCATTAATGAGAGTTCAATATTTGTGTATGGTTCTTTCGGTGGTGGAGGGGTAAAATCTAGATACCGTGAAATGCACAAATTATATCATTTTTCATGTAACCCTATTAAGGTATAGAATATTTCTGTGCCCGAGAAAGTTTGCACTGGCTCTGTTTAGTCAGTCCTCACCTTTACTCCTAACCCTGAATATTGTCTGATTTTTATAGCTAGGATTCCAGGCATGTTTTGTAGGATAGTGATAGGAATATTTGGGAGCTGGGGAGTTGCAGCATATGCTTTTTATCACACCATGGATGCTGGACCTTGGTATAGTTTTTCCATATGAGATTTTATAAATTTTGCATTTTTATAAAAATATAGTAACTCATTCAGCAAACATTTACGTACCAGATACCTTGCTAAGTATTGAGGGAGACATTCTGGAATCAAGTGAGTGAAGTAGAGCATTACAGAGGCTCTAATAAAAATAGGTACAGGGTATAATGGAGGCACCAAGAAGGGAGAGGTTGAGTTCTTCCCAACTCGGAAACATAGGCAAGGATAGCCTTGAAAAGAGGAGGTGATATTTGAGCTGAGTGTTGTAAAAGATGAGTTGGTGTTTGAAGGCATTAGTGGAGTGGGAGAGCAGTTGGAAAACAGTGTTTTAGGGTGAGCAAGGGCAAAGGGGAAGAAGGAGCCTGTGTGGTGGGGAATGGTTTTCCTAGGCTGGAGCAAAGGCAGCAAAGAGGAAGCTAAGATGGTAGATGCAAATGACTTTGGTTTATTTTTATAGCCTAGGGAGTAATTGAAGATATTTAGTCATTTATGGAGGGGATTAAACTCAAGAGAGAAATTGTTAAACAATGCAGTTAGTAGCTTAAGAATATTTTATGATCAGATAAAAATCATATTTCTTCTTTGTGTTATTAAACTGTAATTTTATATTCATATTCTGACTCTTTCCCCATTTATCTTTCTAAAATGACAGGTAGTGTGCCAGTATTTGAAAAATCCCAATGTATCTGATTCACTACTGCTGCAGAATATTTTCCAAGCTCTGAATGTATATTACAATTATTCGGGCCAGGTGAAATGCCTGAATATTTCAGAGACAGCAACTAGCAGTCTGGGAACACTGGGTTGGAGCTATCAGGTAAATATGTATAATTTCCCCAAGTGGAACTTACTTTTCACTGATACAGCTGTGCTGTAAAGAAAAAATCAGGGTACACAAGATTTTGTCACCTAACCTGGATCCAGTTTTGGCTTCTGTTACTTTATGCTGTGATACTATGGACAAGTTTTCTTGTTCATTCATTTGTTCATTTAATAATCACCAAATATATATTGAGTTCTTACCATGCATCAGGCACTCCTCTAGGTTTCAAAGATACAAAGATAAATAGTACATGATCAAATATAGTGTAGTGAAAAAGTAAGTAATTAGTATTTCAATAGATCTTGATAAGTCCTACAAAGGGAGCATTTTATAGACATATAAGAGAAAGGGAGTCTAATTTGTCCTTCATCTGCACAATAAGACAGTAATAATAATAATACTTTCCTTCCAGAGTTGTTTTGAGGGTTAAATATGATAATAAATGTGAAATCAAGCAGTTTGCAGTGAAGGGATATAATCCTGACTTCTGTGGCTTCTTGACCAAGTCTTTTTAAGAATAATGAGAGATTATAGGGCACACAAGTAAAGAACGGGGCTTTGAAGCGGCCTTGCCTGAGTTCAAACCCTGCCTTTACTACTTACCAGCATTATGACTTTGTATTATTTATTTAACCTCTTTTTGCCTCATTTTTCTAATTGGATTCTCTCTTGGTTTGCTTTTTAGGCCTGCACAGAAGTAGTCATGCCGTTTTGTACTAATGGTGTCGATGACATGTTTGAACCTCACTCATGGAACTTAAAGGAACTTTCTGATGAGTGTTTTGAACAGTGGGGTGTGAGACCAAGGCCCTCCTGGATCACTACTATGTATGGAGGCAAAAACATCAGTTCACACTCAAACATTGTTTTCAGGTGAGTTTTTACTGTCCAAAGATAAACTTCAGTTGGTGGAACATTTATAGAATATCTGAAAAAATAGAACCAGGAAGATCCTGGACAATAGAACAATATAGAATACAACAGTGGTACCCGTCATGTTTTCCTATGCCTTGAAAGATAGGATGCTGAGAAGAGATAGAATTTTTTGCTCTATTACCAATGTGCTTTATTAAAGTCTTAAAAATCAACAGCAACAAAATTTTTAAAATATTAAAAAAAACCTCTCCAGCACAAAATAAAGCATCATCCGCTGTTCTCAATTTGCCTTATTATTGTTATGCTGTTGTTGATGATAATAAAAAATTTCAGTATTCAACACTTTTGAAGTGCCCACTGCATTCTGTTCCAAGTACTAAATGAGGCACTTTAAATAAATTACCTGGTTAAATCCTCACAACAACCCTGTGAAGTAGTTCTTCTAGGCCCTTTTTCACTGTGAAGGAAACTGAAAGTTGCTGTGTTCAATCACTTGCCAAAGCTCATCCAGCTTTGTTTTAGTTACTAAGTGATAAAGCCAGCTTTCTATTATGGCCTGACTACAAATCCCATGTTTGTTTTTCTACATTACACTGCTCCTTAAGAAGTCACATATTTGCCACTGGTTCACATTGGAGTTAATTGAGCAGACTCTATGTGTATCTGACTGGGCCTTCAAAATTTCCATGTTTTGAGTTGAACATTAGGTTGTCAGCTATTAAAATAGCAACGAGTTATTCAAGAATTTCCCCAAGTCTATATAGAAATAGGAGATACCACTACATACCTGTTAACCAGAGCTATTTTTAAAATTGTAAATGTCATTCTTTTACAAGTTCTTTTATTTGTTTTAATTTTTACTCTTTGAAAAAAAAATCTGTTAAAACTTTATCTTGCATTTTACAGAAGTCTATGAATGATTTTTAAAAGGTACCTCCTTACCCCATATCACATTTCTCTGACAGTTGTTAAAGTAGGCAATGAGTATATCACTAGCTTGAGCATCGGCATCTTGCAAGGATTTCAGACCAACCAACCACTCACCAAAGAACTTGGCAGCTTTTTAATCTTGTTTTTAATACAATGGTAGGTCCACTCTGATGGCATACTTATCCAGCCAAATCTCTACAACACACTGCAAAATCAGTGATTAGCAAATTGGTTAGCTTTGGCATGCAGCTGTGCTTATTTGCCCGTGACAGCCTGGTGTTGATACTGGCAACAGAACTTTCGCACTATAAGAAACAGAGTCGGGTACCCTTCTGCAGGATTGTGTCTGGTGATCAGCATGTGTGACATCACCTTGACAATTCCTTGATGTATCAAGGGCTAGTTTCCTCCAGCCCTTTTATGAGGCACTACTCTGTTCATAAGGGGGCAGCCCCATAACTTAAATGACATATTCCTTGATGTATCACCTCAAGACATTTTCTGTTTCTGTTGGAATCTCCCTTTGATTACAAGTTGGTTATTACCATCTATAGAACCACTTGTACCCAATTCAGCCAACAAAAATGCAAGGAGGCTGGGTGCAGTGACTCACTCCTGTAATCCCAGCACTTTGGGAGGCCAAGGCAAATGGCTTGCTTGAGCCCAGGAGTTCGAGACCAGTCTGGGCAACATGGTGAAACCCCATCTCTAGAAAATATACAAAAATTAGTTGGCATGGTGGCATGTGCCTGCAGTCTCAGCTACTCGGGAGCCTGAGGTGGGAGGATGGCTTGAGCCCAGGAGGTGGAGGTTATAGTGAGCTGAGATTGCACCACTACACTCTAGCCTGGGCAATAGAGCCAGATATTGTCTCAAAAAACAAAAACAATAACAAAAAAAAAAAAAAAACAAGAAACATGAAAACAAAACAAAACAAAATAAATGAAAAAATGCAAGGAAATGTTTGGGCTGATTATGTAATAGTTTATAGATATCCATAAAGTTGACAAAAGGAGTTTTCTTCGTTCCTACTTGGATGACCTGTGGAGGTTTCATGGTGAATTTCCTTTTCTTTCAAGCAACCGTATCTGGATTCTTTCCCCTTATGATGTTGAACACATGATCCAGCAGCTCCTCATATGTGCAGTCTCTTTCTGAGCCTACCTCACAGGGCCTATCTGATTACTGAATGAGACAACATCGTCTTTTTGCTATCTTCATCTTCTAGAGCTATATCTTTTTTATTTTTGAGACAGAGTCTTGCTCTGTCACTCAGGCTGGAGTGCAGTGGCATGATCTTGGCTCACTGCAACCTCCACCTCCCAGGTTCACACCATTCTCCTGCCTCAGCCTCCCAAGTAGCTGGGACTACAGGCTCCCGCCAGCATTCCCAGCTGATTTTTTGTATGTTTAGTAGAGACAGGGTTTCAACCATGTTAGCCAGGATGGTCTCGATCTCCTGACCTCGTGAGCCACGTAACTCGGCCTCCCAAAGTGCTGGGATTACAGGCATGAGCCACCACTCCTGGCTAGAGCTGTGTCTTTAGTATTCCATCCTCATCTGGGAACTTGACATTCTTCTTTCTATTGCCAAGCATAATGTCAAGGTCCTCCTCTGGTTCATCTGGTTCTTGAACATCACTTTCAATCTTAAGATCCTTTACAACTTCTTCAGTTTTATCAATATCAAATATCTTTTTTTTTTCTCCTTTTTCTTCTGAATAAAGAAGTTCAGGTCATCTAGAACATCAGAAACGTCTTTTTTCCTACTGTCATCTTCATTGGCTTCTACATCTTTGTCCTCAGTTGGCTCCGGTTCCTCTTCTTGGGCTAGTTTTTCTCTGTTTGTGTATCCCCTTCCTCATCTAACATAAAGGGGTTTTTCTTTTTCTTCTTGCTCATAGTAGGATCAAAAACTGTCTCATCCCCAGACATGGCTGTGGCTCAAGTGGGCTCAGCACATGGGAACTCGGACAGCTCAGCCCCAGGCCCCTGGGAGCATTGCTGCTCCTGCCAGTACCTCTCCGACCACTGTACTCTACAAATTCTTTTAAATAAGAGTCAAATTTGGCCTTTGGTATGTAGTCAAAAGTTTTTAGGGATGAGGAGAGCTGTTTGCCTGTACGTTGACTCTGAGTTTAGGCTGGTAGCACTGCCCACTTTGCAAAAAAAGGTCTCTGACTCATTAGACTCATTCTATTTTCTCTTTTAATTTTTAATTTTAATTTTTATTTTAAGTTCCGGGGTATATGTGCAAGATGTGCAGGTTTGTTACATAGGTAAACATGTGCCATGGTGGTTTGCTGCACCTATCAACCCATCACCTAGATATTAAATCCAGCATGCATTAGCTATTTTTCTTTTTCTTTTGAGATGGAGTTTTGCTCTTTTTGTGCAGGCTGGAGTGCAATGGCACAATTTTGGCTCACTGCAACCTCTGCCTCCTGGGTTCAAGCTATTCTTGCCTCAGCTTCCCAAGTAGCTGGGACTACAGCTCACCTGGCTAATTTTTGTATTTTTAGTAGAGATGGAGTTTCACCACGTTGGCCAGGCTGGTCCCAAACTCCTGACCTCAGGTGATCCACCTGCCTCAGCCTCCCAAAGTGCTGAGATTACAGGCGTGAGCCACTGCACCCGGCCTTAGCTATTTTTCTTAATGCTCTCTTTCCCCCAACTCCATCCACTGACAGGCCCCAGTGTGTATTTTTTCCCTCCCTGTATCTGTGTATTCTCTCAGCTTCCACTTAAAAATGAGAACATGCAGTGTTTGGTTTTCCATTCCTGCATTAGTTTGCTGAAGATAATGGCTTCCAGCTCCATCCATGTCCCTGGAAAGGACATGATCTCATTCCTTGTTATGGCTACATAGTATTCCACCCAGCAGTATACCTTTCCCCAAATATAAGGCAAGACACTTTAATGGAAAACTTGAAACTACTTTTTGTTTAATTTTCTTCTGTTGTGTTCCTTGTTCTCAACAGGATTCTTCAAAACTATACTCTTAAGCTCAGTCTTACAAAGTGACAGTTAAGCAAATAAGTCTGCTTAGGATGTTTAAGGAAACTGTGCCAAATTTAGGTTATTTGAAATCAGGAAAACTTGAAAGAACTGAGAGGGTTGAAAAAGACCTAAACATAAGCCTTTGAGTTTGTCTTAGTCCACTAGTGCTGCTATAGCAAAAAACCTGAGAGAGGGTAATATATAAACAGCACAAATGTATTGCTCACAGTCATGGAGGCTGGGAAGCCCAAGATGAGGATGCTGGCAGGTTTGGTGTCTGGTGAGGGCCCAGTCTCTGCTTTCAAGATGGCACCTTAAGGCAGCATCCTCACATGGCGGGAGGTGGAAGGCCAAAAGGGACGTAAGCTAGTTTCCTTCAGCCCTTTTGTAAGTATTTTAGTTATCCATTGCTTTTTTATGTTATCTTTCTCAGACTGTCAAAATGATAATAATAATAATAATCGTCATCATCACCATCATTATCATCATTGGAGAAGGGGGCATATTTTGTGAGAAAAGTCAGTGGGTAGGAATTAGAGCTCCATGTAAGAAACTGTTAGCTCAGTGTAAGAAAGGACTTTCAGGAAGGGCTGTTCAAAGGTAGAGTGAGCTGTCTTGAGTAAAATTTCGTAAGCTTTTTTGATTCTCAGTTTTATCCTTTGTGAAGTGAGAATAATAATACCACTCACCCCATAAAGTTGTTGTGGTGCATCAAAAGAGCTCATCAAAGTACTTGGCCCAGATCTGGCAAATATCTACACTCAAAATATATTTGTTGAATGAATAAATGAAAGTACACTCTTCACCTTGCCCTTTATGTTCTAGCCACAGGGAACTGTATACTTATCTCTGAATGTCCTTTCTCATCCTTTTTCCTTTTTCCTTAAGTCTCATACCTTCTCCAAGAAATATTCCGTAAGGGAGGATAGGTTTCTACCTCCCCCTTACTTCTAGTAGCACCTATAAGTACCGCTTATCACTCCATGTAGTTATTTGTTTGTGTTTCTATCTGCCCCATGAGATTGTGAATTTATCACTGGCAGGAACTTCATCTTAACCATCTCTGT